TTTTCTAAAGAACACTCATTAATAGAAACTACTAGATTCTATTATAGTAGTCATTTTCTTATATGAGCCCTAATTTTTTTATCTGTATTTTTAACAGTTGGATATTCTTTTCGAATTTTAAAGTCTATAAATTTTGAGGAAAGTAGACCCCTCTCAAAATTTATAGAAACTGGAATTTATCAATCCCTTTAATACTTTTAGGGGTAGGAAGAATTATTATATTTAATCTTATTAACATTTTTTCTTCTTCTTGGGAAATATTTATATGAAACCCAATATCCAACTATTTTATTCTTTTTGCTCCTGTGATTTCAGGATTTCTATCTTATTTGTCGTCATATTAATACTGACAATAACTTGAAATTTACTGTAATAAATAATTGGTTATAGCTTATATCACTTAAAGCATAGCTTTGAAGCAGCTAAGAATTTTTATCCAAAATATATTAATAAGATTTAATTTTTAATAAATTATTATAGGTTTTGAAGACCTACGGTTTAAATTTTAACCTAAAATCCTTTTTACTAATATAATACTAGTATAAAATATGATAAAATTAAAAGGATTACTCTAATCTTTCTATCATATATCCCCCTTACCTTTTTATTAAAGATTTTAGGTATTAAATTTATTATTAAATAAATATATCAAACTATAATCATGCGATAATAGTAGTAATACCCCACCCCTGATAGTAATAAAAGTATTACTACTATTATCGCATGATTATTAATAAGATTAATAATCCCAACTAACTTCATTAAAAAAATATTAGAGGGGGGAAACCCTGACACAGAAAACAACAAAATTATTAGTAGACTAACCCCTGTTACTTTATATATTAACAAATAATTAGCTTTTGCATTAACTACCCTTAAAACTATTATTTTTAAATTTTTTACTCTAAAAATTAGAAAGATGTACATTCCTCTAAATAATAAAAAATAAAATACTCCTCTTCTCACCAGTAGAACTATTCATACTGACATCCCAATTGAGGAGTACACTATGATCATTATAAAACTTCTTATATAAATTGGCGCCAATGATCTGATTAGTGCTCTTAACCTTAGACAAACCATAATTGGTTTGTCTCAAGATCAAAAATAAGAGACTGGCAGTTTTTTATACCAGATAGTACAATAATAAACCGGGATTAACTTTTGCAATGTAAACATTGGTACAAAGAACTGCAAGCCTCTTATTTTTGATCTTGAGACAAACCAATTATGTAAGGGTGCCAATTCTGCTTTCATTATTATCCTAATATTAAGATATATATCACACCCTTTAGGGTTAGGGGTACTCTTAGTTCTTCTGAGAATAGAGACAGCTGTTTTAGTAAATTTTGATGCACCTTCCTCCTTGTTTACCTTGGTTATTGTAATAACTTACACGGGGGGGAGGGGGTATATTAATTTTATTTCTATATTTATGTGTATTGTCTCCAACCCCAATAACCAAGGTAAACAAGTAATATAGGAATATAACTTATGGGGGTGTATCACTCCTCGCTGTAATAATTTGAAGTGTATATTACATCACCCCTCTTAACATTAAGATATATCAGGATATTGTTTAAAAATACTAAAATCTCGGCATTCATTTTTGAATAAACTATTTAAAATTTGTTGATTATCAGAATTTAAATCATAAACAATCATATTTCCTGCTGTGGGATACTGAAAAAAATCGGATATTAGATTATTGGTTTTTTTACAGGTTAATTTGCACTCATTTGAAGACTTTAATAATTCCTCAACTAATCATTGTATTAATTGTTTTTTTTATTAAAATTTTCATCCATTTGCAACCATGTCCAATCTAGTTTAGATGAAGCATAGTTGCCAAAATATTTTCATCTTCAAAAATTGTCCCAATAAACCTAGAATTATTAAATATTGATTAATTTAATATTAATTTACCTATCTTCAATCCCTAAGTAAGGCATTTAAGAGTGGTAAACAAAATTTCAGGTTCATTTGTTTAAATTGTTTAATTTAATAATGAGCTGGTAACTAGTTGCACAGTAATAAGCTGTTAACTGACTCCTATGCATGAACTAAAAATTAACATTTCTTAAAACAGCTCAAATAATTTGTTTGTAATTAAATTATTATACAAATTTAAATGCGGCGATAGGCACTCCAACAATCTGCTGTTGTGCATATTAACGATGGTTCTATTAGACTTTTAATGATTTCTTTCTTTTCATTCTCTTATCTTTGGGAAATTCTAGCAACCACTGTCTGTCTGCAAATTATATTTTTTTGTGGAGCTAATGTTTTGATCATTTTTATAAATGATGGATATTCAACAACTGAAAATGGCTGAATGCTATCTATAATAAAATCAGTTATTAAATCATCTAAAGTGGTTTAGGTTAAAGTCTAAGGTCTCTAGGAAAAAAATCAACGGACGATGAGCTTAGTCCAATATTTTCTTTAATAGATTTTTTCTCCTTCCCCTTTTTATTTGGATTAAGAGTGTTTGATGTTTTCTCTTAAAATTTAAAATTAAAATTGTAAACATTTTTTTAGTATCTATACCCTTAAATGTTTTACAATGTTGCAAGTTGAGGTAATTGCTATCTGAAATTTTCATATTTTTTGGACACTGCAAACATTTTACTAACAGAGATTTGTTTTCTTTATTTTGAGATATTATTTTAAAATATGGTCTATAAATTGGCCATGTAATGTCATCATTTTTGTCATCAATTTTAATCTTAAAAATAAATACAATAGAATAAAATAAAATACCGATTCCATTACAATTAAAAATGGCAAATTCCTTGAGATGGATTGTAATATCAGAATTTGCTTGTTATTGATAACTCGGACATAATATTTAATTGCTATTTAATTAATATTTATATATTCTTTTTTATTAATAAGTTTTAATATTTTACATATATATATAATTTTTTAATATATTTATTAATATTAATTTATATGCTCATATGAAATAAAATAAATTTTACACTCAAGTATTTTTATTTATAATATAAGCGTTAAATAAAAGTATATCAAAATGTATCTTAAAAAGTATCTAAAAACAGATACAGATACCTCTAAAATAATATCAAGATACAGATACTTTAATCAAAAATTTATCTAGATACGTACAAATACCACATTTTTATATCTAGGTACAGATCTAGATGCTATTTTGTAAGTCAACATAACCATTAACATTAATTGAACATCTATAATTGGTTTAAAACAATAATTTGATGTGAAATATTATAATCAGATTATATACATTATATTTCAGGTTGATTATCATTTTTCTTTTGAAAAACATTAACTTCTTTAAAAAGAAATACGTAAAGAAAGATGAAAAAATAGAGTTAATAAATATGAAGAGAGAAGGTAAATGAATTTGTAATACTAAATAAAATAAACATATAATTTATCTGACATTCAAGGGTTTTTTTAATGGATGGGTAAATATTTGTGTTGATATGTGCAAAGTAACAATATTTTTGACCCCAATGATGGAAATGTCGCCTTAATTTTTGGATAATTTTGCGAGTATATATTTTACCCAGACACTCAAATTTTTCTTTATAGAAATTAGTCTTCTTCAGTACAGTCAATAGTGTGAAGAATTAAGAATAAAAAGCAAGAAATTTTATAATCAATGAAAGTGGTTTGTGTAAAATTTTAATAATGAAGTTTTATTCAATTCAAACTAAATATAAGATATATTGTTAGAAACCGTTCATGCTGAATTTGCACCTGACATTAATAAAAAAAATATCTTAATTTATGGTTATATATGTTATCTCATATTCATTTGCCAAGGGGAATCTAGACTACTCGCTATATATAATAAATACAAATTAAGAATCAATTAGAAGAGGAGATCAAGTAGGTTTTCATTTTGAAAAAAATTCTAAGATAATTTTGCTCTAATATTAGTTTAAAAAATTAAGACATTTGTCCTAAATTAGTTTACCAAGTGCAAATTTGGTCATTCAAAACTGGCAAACCTGCATAATATATAATATGGAAAAAACTTGTCGAAATTAGTCTAAAAACTATTTAACATGCTTGTAAATTACTATATGTATAAATGTTTTTATTATGAATGTAATATCGAAATATCTTCTGCTAAATATATTTAGGCATACCAGGCAGGCTTTGGCACTCTCAACAGCCCTTTTCGAATAGAATAATTAACATTTAAAATCATAATATTTATATTTAGCATATATCTATCTAAAGTACCAGACTGCAGATCCATGATGAAATTTATAACAGCTTTGAATAAAGACTCTAAATTGGAACTCTGGCAAGAGCGTACTATTAGCTCTAAATAACAAGACTTATTTGGCTCCAGATGCCTAGACTGGTTCTCTATGGCAAACGATAATATTTATTTTTAAAATTAATTTATCAACTTTTTAGCTTAAAATTTTATTCCTGTTTTAAAATTTTGTCCTGATTTTTTATTTATCTAAAAGTCGATAGCTTTATTCAATTTATTTTATGATTGTCATAAATAAATATTATTATAAAATAATTTTAAGGTTATAAAAAATAATAGTGATGCCTAAAAAATACATATTCAAATGTATATTATGCATTATTTTTTATTATAGATTTCTTAATATATTAAACGATAGATAATTTTATATAAGATTATATTATTTATTTATTGCACAGAAACAAATTATTGAAAAAACACAATATTTCTATTTTTTGCTTTCAATATAAAATATCGATATTATAGGGTTTCCTATTCAAAAAAGGAAAAGTCTCGATCAAAAATGGAAAAATGCTAAAGAGTTAGCGTCCTATCAAAAAAGGAAGAGGTCTGATCAAAAGAGAAAAAATGTCAATCAAAAAAAATAAAAGTTTCTTAAGTAAAAGAAAAATGTTCAATCAAAAATGAAAAATTCTCATCCAAAGAAGGAAAATCGTTAATTATTAGAGTTTATATTAAAAAAATTAAATTTTTCCTGTTGTCGATTTAATAATCCTGATAAGTCATTTTTCTTTAATTTTTGATTATTTCTAAGTTTTTTCTTATATTTTTTCTAACTTAGTGATCCCTCATTAATTTTTATGAGATCATTATATTTTTGTTACCTTTTCTCAATTCTCTTAATTTTATTTATAATTAATCTTAAAAAGGGGGAAAGATAGTTAGGAATGACAAAATAAATAGGGAATTATAGAAAGATGACAGGGAAAATAAAGAAATTATTTTAAAAAATTCAAAAACAAAAAATAAATAAAGAAATTTGAGAAAAGATGATAAAAATAGATTAAAAATGTCATAAAATTAAAGAGTGAATAGAAAAAGTTAGAAAAATTAAGGAAGATAATTTAAAATAACCAATAACATAAAATGGCATTTCAAGATTATTAAAATAGCAAATTTTTTTTAAAAAACAATAAATAACTAATTTCCTTCTTTCCTCGTTCTTGTGTGACTTATTCTTTTTGATTGAACCTTTTCTGTCTTGGTAGGACTTTTTCCTTTTTTGATCGGACCTTTTTCTTTTTTTGATGACTTTTCCTTTTTAGAATGGGAAACCCTGTATATCTATGAAAAAGTGTTAGCATTCTTTCTTTCGTTTATAGAATATATTCATACATTTAATGCCCATTAATTCTGATTTCTATATCTATTCGCGACAGCAGATCGTAGATGCGTTTGAAATTTGGTCTTTGGCAAGGTTTAACTCTCCAACACTCGGTCAATATACATTTGTATATGGAATCTGGCATTAAAGTAGGTTTAGGTAGTCGCTCCCCTCTCTTGAGATAAGTCACAATTTCTGTCTTATTTTTCAACCAGGCGTAAGGTTGAATGGAAAATGCAAAAATTTCCCATAGCACAATACCCATGGACCAAACATCAGAGGCTATGCTAAATTTGTTAAATAATATAGCCTCCGGAGGCATCCACCTAACTGGAATGGCTATTGCTCTCAACCTGGTAGTTCTGTAATAGTCAATCCCTTCTTCGCTAGATTGGTAATTACTAACAAATTTACTATAACTAAGCGCCCTATCTCGTGATGCAGTAAATTGAGACGAGGCGTAAGTTTCTATTTTACGACATAATCCGAAATCCGATATTTTTACTATAAATTTATGACCCACCAAACAATTCCGAGTTGCCAGGTCTCGATGTATGAATTGTTTAGACGACAGATAAAGCATGCCTGTAGTAATCTGCTTGGCGATGTGTATGAGATCGTTTAAGGTCAGAGATTGCGCTAATTTACAAATATCCGAATTACTTGATTTAACTATACCAGGATTGAAACTATTGTAATCTAGGCCACTGGGTTTGTAAAATTCATTATTGGTGAGGGTTTGAAAATTTCCGAAACGCTTTTGATTTGCCTTGTTACAGAAGAAATCGTGTATTTCAGGTAGAAATGTAGCTTTGGACTGCCTTAAGATCCTCCTCGCTGACTTTTGATCGAAATACATTAAATTGGACAGTCCTTCAAAACAGTTTTTGTTGGCTTTAAGCTGATGAAAATGCATTTTGTATGGGTTATAGCGTTGTAGTAAGTGATTCAAGTCTCCATAACTCATGTATTCTAATAACAAGCATAGCGGTTTACCAACGGAACATATTCCCAGGAGCTTTATAACGTTGGGATGATTAAATTGAGCCATTAATCTGGCCTCTCTTGCAAAATCTTCTTCCAAATCACAGTTTATCTCGACTCCTTCTTTGATCATTTTGACCGCCACCATAGTCCATGGCTCGGTTTTAACCAAATTAGGAGCTCTGGCCTGAAAAACGTGACCAAATGCCCCCTGGCCTAAATTCTTCACATATATGATATTGTTCCTTGGGTATTCATTAAGTAAACCTTCACTGGGTACGAATTTAGCTTGGTGATCGCTCAGGTCTACAGTATTGTGAGAACTCAAAAAGGTCATATTTTTTATTTTGTTACTAATATCATTTTTATTATAACTTCTCCTTAGGTGGGGTAATGAGAGCTTTGCCAATTTGGACTTGAGAGAATTAATGGCACAATTATGCAACTCTTGGTTGTAATTCCGAAAGCTGTCTGGAGATATCTTATTGTAATAAGTTTCGTTGATTGGAAGATCGGATATAAATATCCTGAGCGAGTCTTGATTAAAGTCTCTGCTCCCCATAAGTTTCCCATCCTTGGGGCATTCTAAAAATGTTTTATCATAGCATCTGAAAGGATTAATCCTGTCTATCACACACTTTTTACACACAAATCCCAACAATAAAAATGTGAATATTATAAAAAAGGGCAAACCAGCCCATACGAGTATGAAACTGAGGGGAGGGAGATATTCGTTCGAGCTGGTATTTATAGACGGTATTGAGAAGGGCTGAAAGCGATCTTTTATTAATTTATTTAAAATAAATCATATACAAGTTTAAAAAATTTATAAGACATATGCTTAAAAATATTTATAAAATAATTAAAATACTTTTATTCATCCATTTCGAATGATTCTTGGAGAAATTCGTCTCTAGAAATCTTTAAGAAAATATTTTGGATTTTTATTTATTTATTTATCAATTTGTAAAACAAAATAAGTATAAAGATTATATTATAGATTTAAAAAAATTGGAATTCATTTTTTTAGATTTAAAGCATAAATGGAATATCTTTACTTCTCTTATAAACCCACCTATGATTATTGCATATTCTTCTTTCTAATAAATATTTTTATATTAGTTTATCTGGCAGTAATACAGTTATAACTAATTATTTTTTTAGAAGTTTAATTATTAAGTCTATATTTCTAAGTTTCACATAGTGTTATATAAATCATATAATAAGACTCGAAATAACATAGTAAATAAAATAAACCTTTCTGTCAGATTCGTTACCAGGCTCGTCCAATTATTATATTTTGCTAAAAAAAAAGAAGTATTTTAGTATTTGAATTTAAAAAAATTTGAAAATAAAATAATAATAAGATTGTATAATTTTATCTGTTTAAACAAAAATTAACATAACTAATCACCTATTTTGATTTACACTGTGAATGACCGTTTTATGACTTGTAAATATTATTAAATAATTAAAATGTTTTATATTAACTTTATTGAGTCGTTATCATAATGCACTAAAATGCAAGCATCGTTGGCCATATGACCCTAAGGGACCAATCTTTCATTTCACAGGGAAAACAATCGAAAGTTTATCACACATTCCTCTCGAATCGTTCATTTGAAGTTGAGGCAAATGATTCAAATCAAAATTATCAAGGGATTATAATTGGGATGATTTAAATTGCAATGCTCAAGGTGTTGGGCCCACACCTTTCTCTTTAATTTTCCTTTTATATATCTCTTAATGTTTTAAACATAATTTTAATATATTTTCATTCTATTTTAACTATATAATATTTTTAATGTTTTTATAGTTATTAAATTTTATATTTTAAAGATATTATTTTGGTTAAATGTATTTCTTCTCCTGCTCAGTTATAAAAATATAATTATCCGTGACAAAATAATTATTTGATAAAGAATATTTTTGAAAGCTTTACACAAAATATGTTTACTGTGAATAGTAATTTCTTTAAAAAAGTGAGTAACTTCGAATGTTTGATATTTTAAAATAAATTGGAACTGATTTTTTTTTGCCAAATTTTAGAAGAATAAATAAAAATTAAGAAACTTTAAGCAGCCACAATACTTGTAATTGAATTAAGCTAAATAACTTTTATCAACATGTTAGAATTTGTTACTTAACTATTTTATGTTTTAAATAGAAGAAAAGCTATAAATATAAAAACTTCCTTTAAAAAAATACTAAAAAACAATTATTTAAAAACTTGAAGTCGGTTTAAGCCTCTGATCTTTATTAAAATAAATGGGGAATAAAACGGCACTTTTAAAAGCCTTGTGAGCACCGTCAATCAATTCGTTATAAGCATGGCACACTATTCGCAGCATCTTAGTTACATTCACTAAAAGTTTGGGCTCTGAATACCTTTTTCCCGATTTGTCATTTACCTTTTAGAATATAAGCAAATGTTGTTTTAAATTTAAACGTATAAAAGTTAGAAAAAAGGGTTTAAGTTGATTTTCAAGATTCGTTAAGTTTATTAATAACTTTTTCATAAAATGAAATTTTCAAATTTTTATATTATCGGTTTGGCATAAATTTAATATTATTCAAAATACAGCCACAATTAGTAGGGCTTGAGACCAGTATTAATTATTTTCGAGAAAATTTTGATTAGCCCTAAAAATTAGGCAAAATTGTAAAAATATGGGCCGGGCGAAAAATTTAATCCGGTCCGACCCGGCTTGGAAATAAATTCATTAATTTAATCCGGACCTAAAAATTCGATCTCTGTGAGTCTCTGACTATTATTTTACAGATATTTTTTTAATAAATAAAAATTAACATACTCTTTTCCTCAAAATTAGTAAATGATATCAAAAATAATAATGAATAAGTCAGTTAAGTTCAAAGACATATCCGGCAATTTATCTAACAACAATGCAATAATTTGTTTTAGAAAATTAAAAATAATTCAAACCTTTGAAATTTCTAATATAATGTAGCAAATATTAATTGAAATTGATCATTTTACTTGATTTCCATTTTTGACCCAATAAATGATGGGTGGGGGCTCACCGGTTGCAACACAATAAGCAGTTACAATGTGACCATACGATACATTTCTATCTTCTGGACCTTCGATTATTTCAACCTCATCTATCATTTATATATTGGGGAGGGGGGAGGGGATATATTAGTAAATTTATTAGCAAATTAAATTTGTTTAGAGTTGACCAGACTTTGTCCATTTCCAGACAGAAAGTTTTTTCCAACCGGTTTTTGGATATCACCAGCTTTCTAAAAAAAATACTAACGAATTCATTTTTTTTATATAATATAATATTTTAAAAATAACAATCCGGAATCACATATCAAGAATTTAATCGTTATTAAAATTAAACCAGTTTGTTTTCTATTTACGATTAATAAAATAGGGATCCGAATAGTTTTTTTTAAAATATTATATTATATAAAAATATTAATTCATTAGTTTTTTTTTTTGGAAAGCTGGTAACAACCAAAAATCACTTTGACAAAACGTTCTGGCCGATTTTATGGTCATGGCTAATTAGCTTTAGCCCTTACATTTACCATCTTGATCTTATAGTAAATATCAATATTTGTTTATAAATAATTTAATAAAATATTTGTTTGCAATATATTTTGTCTGTCTAAATAAGATTGGGTTTTACTTAAATGATAAGCAAATTTATTATTTATTTTGGCAGATAAGGTATTTTATTACCAATTTCTAGTGTCTTAGTCAAATTAATAACTTAAGATCTCTATTTTTTTCGCTTATCTTTCCTTCCTACTTCAATGACTTATTCCTTTCATAGATTATTTTTTATTTCAAAAACAAGGAATTTAATATAAATTATGTTTAAAATATAAAATAAATTTTAGATATTCCTTTTTTAATTGCCGCATATGTAATAAAGAATTTATGCTAATATCAAAAAATGTATATTGTATAAGCTCCATAAATCCAGGAACCGGAAATGCAGAAGGTTCCTATACCAGATGCATAACATAAACTCCCGCTATATCCACAGCGCGAGTGAACCAAGCAATTTTTCAAAAATCAAAGAGCCTCTGAGAGGGCACAAGAGGCCCCTATAAATATAAATATCAATTTCTTGTTAGGCACTAAATATTAACGTAAATCAGTTATATAGTTCTTCTATATTTTCTAATCTTGCATGATGCCAATTTTTTCTTATTTTGCAATAACTTTTTTCTCAAAACTGTCTACCAAATTGATTAAAATAATATATAATTAAGTACTAAACATTTATAAAATTATCAGAATAAATGGTTTCAGTTGCCTTATAATCGTAATGGCCAAAGTTTTGCTAGTAGTATTTTTTCCCCCTTTATACTGGCTACTATACTGCTTAGAACACTCATAGGCAAGAATAACGCACAAAATATTAGCATTATTTATAGAATTAGTACTTCTAATTGTTCAGCCAATTTACCATCCCCCCCCCACGGATAAATTTTGGTCATATCACTTACTATTCTGTTACCAAGTTAGTGATAAAAGATGCTTGACATAAAGACTAATAACACCACCACACTAATTTAAATTATATCTTTATATTAATGTTTAGATGTAATAATTGAATTGATTTATATTATAAAGATTAATTAATAAATATTCTATATATTTTAGTAAAATAGAAATGAAATAATAAAATAGATATTTTTCCCACGAAGACATTTGGATGGAAACGGTACAGGGCGCAATGCCCTTGATCCGAGTTCCTGAGTCACATCAAAATAACTTCAATATAGATAAAAAAAATACAATGAATATTTTTAGATTTAAAAATCTGTTTATATAAAAAAAAGTATACTATAATAATAAATATTGTCATTATATACAATATAAACTATGGGGTGCTAAACAGAGAAATACATGAATTTGTATAAATACCTATTGTCTTGTTAGGTAAAACTTGCCTTAGTAACGTCAGTTTATACTAAGAAGAGTTTTCCCAAATCTTTGCCAACGATGTAAAAATGAGGTCACGGGGAATATGAGTATTACACTAATTTAATAGACTTAAATGCTGATAGAACTTTCCTATTTATGTTTTCAACATAATAGGATTTACATAGAGGAAATCCTAAAAAAAGGAACAGCGTTTATCGTTAAAAAATTCCAAGGATTAGATATGCTAAGGGGTCAATTGACTCTTGCGAATATGGAATTTCATAAGAAGTAACGGGGAGAGCCACCACTACTATATTTGGACTGCAGAGTTGTTCTTTAGCTCAAGGTTCTTGGGATGGAGTAGCTAGTAATTTATGATCAGACCGCTGATATGATTTTTAGATTGCTAAATGTATCAAGTTTACTAGAGATGAGCAAAATCTTAAGGCTTGCTTAATAGTTTTCCTTATAAAATATTAAGTGAGCCGATTTTAAAAATTGGCTCAAAATAAGCCATTTAATATCACTACTCATCTTATAACAAGTTAAAGAGGGGAGTTAGAGTTAAGATGGTTCTGCAACATGTGAGTTGAGAAGGAAGGGCGATAAGCAGATGAAAAAAGGAATTGAAAAATGTAATAAGAAGCAATCATATGGAGATTTAGGATTTTTTCCATTTTTGCGATAATGTGGCCTCAGGGGATGAAGAAGATCGATCTTGAGGATGCTTGAGAAAAAGGATTTATATCTTAGGAGAACAGAGAATATTAATTTAATGGCGCCAAATTTTTTATTTAAAATACATTATACATACTCTGGACGTTGATAGTTATTGGTTTAGAGATGTCTTCGTGGCTTGCGTCGACCGCTACGCAATTGTACTCACCAGAGTGTCCTTGTTTAATATCGCGAATAAACAAGTGGCCCGTAGACGTTACAATATGGTTCATACCTATTTTATAAAAATATTCTTTATAAGGCCTTTAAAATAACATTATCTTTATTTCTCTTTTATCTCAAAGCTTTAAACGGTTCATAGCTTTAATTTACTTGATATCTGACTTAGTCACGTTATATTTTACATTATTGCTGTCTTATAATGTTAAAAAGGTTAATTTAGACCTCTTAATGAATTTTAAAATTTTTAATGTCAGAATTTAAGTCCTACAAGATTTATACCCATTATACTATATCTTTAAACTAAATCATAATCTCAAATATTTAATATATCGAGTAAAAATTAAACTAAATGTTGTTATATAATCTTGAAGATAATATCAATTTTTTTTAAATCCGAAATAAAAAAAATTTAATTTATATGATAATTTTTTGTGTGTTCATTTTTGAGAAATGAGTATATTATTTTATTCTTTTGTTTTTATATAATATGAAAGATAAATTCCAAATTTTTTTTTTAACTTAATTGAATTTCATTTTATAAGAATTTTCTTTAAATTTAACTTAAACTGGTATAGCAGCATTCTGTATTTCAATTATTAAAAAATTGGATCGCTTTAAAAAAAAATTTATGTTTTTTTGTGGTCAGTCAGAATTGTCACAAATATTTCAAAATTGTTACATAGGATTATATCAGGAATATTATTAATTATTTTATTTCTTTCTTGAATTTCACTGTTAGTATATTTGCTTCTATTTTATATATAAAAATTTTGAAAATTGACATTTGATTACCTTTCATTTCACTCTTTTTTTAAAAACAACTCGACGAATAATGAATGGGAAATAGACGATAGTTTCTTAAAATATTTTTTTTAACAAAATCTAATTGTAAATAAACAATTTTTTATATGAGTTATATATGTCATTTTAAATTGTAAAATATCATGATCTAATCTGTGAATATTTACCGTTAGCTATCTAATCGTGGCAAATAAATTTTACAAAATATTTATAATATGACGTAATGACACCAAAATATTTCCATTAGAGTATAATGTCAGATAGATCTTTCGAGATTGGATTATAATTTTGGATGTTTAGAAATTAATCAATTTTTTTATTTTAATATATAGTGTTGTGCAGATTTGATGCAAAACATTTTCATATTTTTAATTAATTTGCAAATAAAATTGAGTTAAGAATTCTTACAATAACATATTTATATATTCTTATCAATTTTTGCAAGTTTAATCATTTTATTTAAACTAATTAAAAAATGGAAATGTTTTTCATTAAAACTGCACAAGCACAACACTATAAAAGGTTAGTGTGCTTGTCTTATTAGAATAATAAAAATAAAATTAAAAACAAATAGGTATCAGTTGATAATCTGTAAAATAATACAATTAGCACTCAACATCTATGTTCTCAAAAATCTAGTTTAACCAACAAAAGTTAACAACCTGGATATCTCAAATTTTTAAAAATCTATAAATTGAAATCGTATGTTAAATTGTTCAAGCTTTCTGAAAATCTTTGAAAAATGTTGTGAACGATTTTTTTTAATGGGAAAAACTTATTTATTATTGTTTCATTAAATTTTTCGAAATTGTAAAAAAAAAAATTTGGACATAGAAATTTAAACGATTCTAAAGAAGTGAATATTAAGAAATCAGGTAGGCTTAAATAATTTAAGCTTGCTTGTTTTTTTTTATATTAACTTAAATGTAGAACGCTTTGAGTTATTTTTTAAAAAAAATATAGAAATATTTTACAATTTTTAATCTCAAGAACAGTGTGTTTATTGTTAATAATAATGTTTTAAGCATAGGTTTTATCATTTTTATTAATAAATTTTAGGATTACAAATAAGAAATTTAAATTGATAACCCTCTTTTAACAACTATATTAGCTCCATTACATTCATCAATATTAGGAATCGGATTGATAATTTTGATGTTTAGTATTTAGGTTAGAGAGATTATGAGTTTGTTTTATAAAAATCTGTTAGAAAAAGTAAATTCAATATCTGGTTTTTATACAAAATTTATTTTTTTTAAAAAAATTATAATGAAAATTATAATGAAAATGTTATAAATTATATTTTTAAATAATGGTTTAGAAATTTTCTATCAATCTTTCTTTTCTTTTCTTTTCTTTCCTTTTTTTTAATTTTCTTCTTTTTTGTCAAAATGTTACAATTAAAATATTTGTAAACTAATAATTAGGAAAAAAGGTTGTAATCAACATTTCAGCTATAAATAGAGCTCCAATCACAACCTTATTATTTCCTTTTTATTTTAACGTCTAAAATATACTATCGATTTTTGATAATTATATTCAAAATAAATTTGGAAATGATGATAAAGGTTGTTCCAATGATCCCATCATGCGAATATACTATACCTTAAAAAAATATTTGAACAGCATTCAGGTATGGAAAAAAGTGATTTATTGTAGTTTTATAAGTATATTAGAGACTAAAATAAATCTGTAGAATAAAATATATTTGGGAAAAGAAAATAAATCATTTTTTGTATTCATAAACATGTCTAACCCTGTTTCAATAAGAATTTTCCATCGTGAATCCAACGAATGTATGGGGCGTCAAATGAACTGTTGCAAGTTAAGTAGACGGATCCTCCTTGAACTATCGTAATATTTTTAAAAGGGTTTATCGAGGTTTCCCATTCTAAATAGCTGCAACAAACTTTTTAAATAAAATTTTATTTTTGTATTAACTAAATTTTCTAAAAAAAATTTAAATATCCTAATAAAAAGTTTTATTTTATCCAATTTTTCGAGACCTAAATGTTGTTCATATTAAACTAAACCATCAAGTTAATAAGTTAAGAACATAAATTAGACGAGTGGTAAATTTTTATAAATATTTTTAGTAACTGTAGTTTTTTATAAGGTTAAAGTTAAGGTATATATTACTGAATTTTACAAGCCAAACAACGAATATTTGAATTATTATAAAGATTTGAGATAAAAATATTAAAAAGGTTATTGTGAAAGTTTTCTAAGTTCTAATTCATATTGTATTTTTTCATATGAATAAAAAAAATTACTAATAATGGTGTAATTAAAACTTAAAACGAAACATATGTCAAAATAAGTTAACAAATCATCCACTTACATAATTCACTATTTATTGAATGGTCTTCATTTCTTTCCTACTCAAATATTAAAAATAATAGATTAACTAGATTTATGATTTAATCATCTCTAACCATGAAAAATAGGTAATTAAATCGAGGGTATGCATTCAAAGATAATTTTTTAAAGGGTTAAAGGAATATATATTTTAGCTTAAATTAACTATAATTATCAAGTATGTTATAAGTTTTTAAATTCATAAATATGTTACTTAAATTATTTTTAAAAATAGTTATAAAGCTGTTTATTGAAAAGATTTCACCTCTCGGTTAAAAATTAGTTGAGTTGCCATTGGTAGAAATAATTATTAACGGGGGTTATGGTTTGACCCCAAAGACAAACGTTAATAAAATTATCGGTAATTAAATTAATTATTTTTAAAGTGAGATGGGTAATATTGTGACTGATACTTAAGCAAAATTATAATATGTTTTTCATAATTTTATTTTATTGAATTTTATTTCCGGGGTAACATGAGTCATATACAGGGTTGCCAGGTCAAAATTTTCAAATTGCGGGAGAAATTTGGTATTATGTGGGAGAAATATGAAAATTGCGGTAGAAATATAAAAATTACTAAAAAATTTTCGGCCGGGATTTTGAATTGACTTAATTATCCGCCTATTATTTTTTATTTAGTTTATATAAATACAAAGTCTGATTTATTAAAATATATAAATTTATAAAAAAAAACCAAAGATTTTTTTTAAATTTAAAAGAATGTAAACAAGATAAAATTTTATAAAAAAAACGATTTTAATTTTACAATTAAAAGTATATTTTATGCGAATGTCCCGCAAAACGACCGCAATTGGAAATCTACCATATGTGTGTGTATAACATTATAGGGATAGGCACTTAATTATCACCTATCACGTTTAAATACGTAATAAGGTATTCCAAAAATAAGAAATAATACAGATAAAACTACAGTTGCGACAATTCTAATCACTTATCTTGTAGTACAACATTCACAGAGATACTTATCATCACAATGTTGGTAGAATCTTTTTCCCATAATATTTAACGACTCTAATATAAATGAAAACTATACTTGTAGAATAAAAATGAGCAAGGCTATCATCAATGTTTTATGACCAAAATCCAGGAGGTCAATTCTTGACGATTTGAAAAATGGGCATACATATGCAATTCTAACAGATGCATCCCTTGATCCTTCGCTATTTCATCAAAATTAAGGTCGTTTCAATAAAACTATTAAATTTTTTCCCCTCAAATAGTGAAAAATCCAAAGATATAGCTAACCATATAATGGTCAATATAGCAGATTCGAGATTATCAATAAATTGCATGTCAGCCTTCTGATCTGATAATGCCTCAGTAAATTTGGTAAAAACAGAGTGTATTTACAGAATTGAGTCAGCACAATGTTGGTTACGATATGTTCCTAATACCCGCCATCGGAATTTTAAAATTTTATAAACCTTTAAAAAAATATTTCTTAAATAAAGATTATAAAAGCTGTCCTAATATTTTGAAATTTTTTTTTCAATAATGAATGGCAGAGGTATATTTAGGAATGATTTCACATGTAGGAAATCTACTACATGCTGTTAATGTGTAGTTGCAATCAGAAGAATCTTAACAAAGATTCACAAAATTATGCTGCAGATGTGTTCATCTTTACAGTTAAAAATTGACAATAAATTTTATGGCGACATTGCTAAAACTTAATTATATTTTATTTGAGATTTAAATAATAGAACTAAATGTTTACCGTCGTTATTGAGATATTTATAAAATTCCTGGCATGACATATTATATATTTGTTTAACCATTAGCTCGGCCTCTACTGTTGTTAAAGCAATCCTATTTCTCTCCTTTTCCCAGGCAGTCCTCATTAGGCTAAAATGGGCTCGGATGAGGCATTAGAATGAAATAAGGAGAAGACATACTCGCATATTTTTTCTAAGCATGGGGATTTATCGTTGTTACGAAAAAATTCTACCCATTTCTCCTCTGCTTTTAGATTATCAAACTTTAAGTATTTTGACGAATCATAAAAAATAGAGAGAATTACAATCTCCTCAAACAAGACATCAATGTCTTTCGGTATTTTTAATATATTTATTAAATTATAAAAACCATCAATTGATGGTTTCTGTTCCAAGGTCATACATAATATTTATACATTTAGTTATTAAAATCAAATTTTGATTGTAAATATTCTAAAATTGTCTTAATAAAAATATCTGCTTCATTTAAAAATGTATTAATTTGAGTATTATTTGAACATTTTAATATAATATTTTTAGCAATAGCGCCATAAAATTTATTATCAATTTTTCACTGAACAGATGAACAGAACTGTAGCGTGATTTTGTGAATCTTTTTTATAAAGAATATTCTGATTGCAACTGAATATTAACTGCATGAAGTAGATTTCCTACATGTGAAACGAATCCCAAATATGCTTCTGCCATTTCAAACTCGTAAAAAATTTTCAAAATTTTAGGACAGTTTTTAAAATCTTTATTTAAGAAAAGTATTTTTTTAATAAAATTTTAAAATTCTATCGATGGCAGGTATTAATGACAACCACCTGATAGGTATATATCGCAACAACTGACACCATTCCAAGTCAGCCCACTTTACCAACTCTTTTAATTCATTAACACTTTTAGTTGATGACTAAATTCGTTAAAACATTTCATCACAATTATTTCGACATCCACAGATAGTACATTTATTGCCTTCTTGTAAGAATTATGTAGTATATAGCATATACAGCCAATTGGTATTAATTCATTATTGTGCTGCCTCAATTCGGTAACTTTGGTTTTTGCCAAAATTTACAGAGGCCTTATCAGCGCAGAAAGCTGACATGCAAATCATTGATAACCCTGAATCAGCTATATTTACCATTATGTGGTTAGCTACATCGTTGGATTTTTCACTATCCGAGGAAAAATTTTAACTTTATGGAAATGTTCTTATTCTTGTTGAAATAGCGAAGGATCAAGGGAAATGTTTTAATATTTCCCTTATTAGATGCATCTGTTAGAATTGAATATGGATGCCCATCTTTCAAATCGTTTAGAATTGACCTCTAGGATTCAGGTACTAAAACACTTGTGATAGCCTTGCTCATTTTTGTTCTGCCACAAGTAAGGTTTGCACTTATATTGGAGTCGTTATATATCATGAGAAAAAGATTCGACCCACATTGTGATGATATAGCTCTGTGAATGTTGAACTACATGATAGATGTGTACGATTTCCGCAAATGTAGTTGCATCTGTATTATTTATTATTTGAGAATATTTTTGTATTGCAATCGATGTTGATATACTCCCCTGTACTAACTTATATGAATGAAATGATGTCGATTTCTTATTGGATAAAAATAAAACAGGATTTTTTGAATAAATATTTAAAATTATTTTAAAAATATAGAAATCATCAGTTAATGTCTCTCAAAATTATTATTTATATATAAAAATGTTAAAATACTTTTTAAAAAAATTGCGGGAGAAATTAAAAAATCGCGGTAAATTTTTGCGGGAGATTTCCAATTGCGGTAGTTTTGCGGGAGAGAGATGTCTGCGTGTAAACTAAAAAATTGCGGGAGTCTCCCGCTGATGGGAGGAGACATGGCAACCCTGGTCATATATGGGGATGATTTAGCCTGTATGAACTTAAGGGGGACACTTTTATAAATTCCTAACATAGGCAAAAAGGGAGGGAATTCTATTTAAAATGAGTATAAAAGAATTTTATCTACAATTAGCACCAAAAAAAGTAATTCTACCATAAATTGTTAAAAAAAGGCCAACTCTAAAAAAATTCACTCAACACTAAGGGGCTCTTTAAAGTTTTCAGGGAGCATATGCGCTCCTTACTAATTATGCTACAGTTGTATCTTGTTTTGCCCCTCAGAAAAGTAGTCTATCCAAACATTTTGCTATTACTACATTATTTTAAAGTAGTTTTAACTTATTTTTTGTTCAAAACATATCTACATTCTTTAAGGCAAAAGGGTTATTTATATTATATATAATATAAAGAAAATATTGCTTTTTAATGGGAAATTTTAATGCTTTTGGATTTAAATTATACGATGTATTTATAGAATCTATATGCTGTCAAATAAAAAAAGTTAGTTGCATTAGAAGTCTGCAATGGACGGGGTTTTAACCCATAGGCCCGCTTAACCATTGGTCTAAAATATTTAACTCTTTCGACGGCTCATATTTTTCTTTAAAAAATCCGACCCCCCCCCCTTTTCCCCCATTTAAATTGTTTCAATGAGCTGTCAGAGAGCTCTCCTTTTGCAGACATTTAAGTCGCATAGACATTATGTAGCTCTAGCTATATATTTTTGGTAAAAAATTAGTCATTAGAGTTTAGTAAAACCTTTGAAAAAAAGGCAACCCTCACTATAATGCCACTTATAACCCTGAGTCCAATTTGCATATTAACCCATCATTTCATGAAGTAGCCTACACGGTATCTAATTAGTGTTGTTAAACGGCTAACCCAATATTTTGGCTAAAAGTATAACACGAGCCTGGATATTTTTCTCGTAGAAGGTAGAAAAGTTTAGATATCAATTAATGAAACGAGGCTAGCATAATATATTTATCTAGAATATTGTGCTAGCCGTTTTTTAAAATAGACATTTAACAACATTACATTTAATATACACTAACCCAATTATTCTTCAATAAAAATTGAATTATATAATTTATCTTTTCTTTTACCTTTAAATAGCCAAAGAATAATAATCAATGCCGTACTGTTCATAATATTTAAAAAATTATTTAATTATTGAAAAAAAGATTATTTGTGATTATTCATCTCTTTGAATTTGGAGATATGATGTAACGGTAAAAAAATTTGATCTATTTCACAAGATCCCCATTTTGACTCATCTGAAATTTTTAATATAGTCATTCGCCATTATATTTTAAAAATTATACTAAAGGTATAACATACATATATAAATAACTATATACTCTTTTTAATTAGGTATCTATATTAAGTTTCTTTCATTTTTTTTAAATTTAAAAACAAAGAATTTTTTTTATTTTTACATTGCAGGAATATTATTTTTTTGTAAATGAAAATCACATCAAATTTTAAAAAAATAAATTACTATTTGAAATAAAAATTAGTGAATGAAATATAATTTTATCATATATTTTTTTTACAATTAAATGGAGGTTAAATGGTTATATTATTATAACGTTGTCCTATTTATCTTATTTTATTTTTTGAAATATCATTTTATTTCTCTTATATCAATCATTCATTTCATATTATATCCTTTATAAAATTTTATGCAATGTAAATATATAATTAATTAATAATTATATATCATTTGTTTTTAAAGGAAATCGAAAAAACAATTTTTTTTATAAGATTTTAGTAATATATATTATGGAATTTAACAATAAATTCATTCAATCCTCTTAATGGATCAGGGCCGTAGCTAGGTTTTAGCTAGAAGAGGGGGGAAATATTTCCTTGAAATAAAACAAATCATATACATTTTTTGCTATTTTTATTAGTTTGCAAAAGACAATTTTTAAATTTTAGCAAATGAATTAAAAGCTAGATTCTGTATAATATTTTTTCCATATGCCTTTAATACTAAATTTTGATTACGTCAATCTTTCATCGATTCTCTACTCTATAGAACTCTTTTTAGTGTAAGGAATGAGGCCTCAAAAAAGCCATAGATACATGATGATGGCTACTGAGCAGGGATCCAAACCGAAACGAATATCGGTTCAGGTTAGGATAAAAATAACGGTTAAAGGTTTAGGTTCGGTTCGTTAAAAATTAAAATATCGGTTCGGTTCGAACCTCTAAAAACCGGTTTGAACACTTTTTCTATCAAATATGATTGATGATAATCTTTAAAACAATTCGAATATAATTAAAATTTTTGCAATATACTAGTAATAACTTACACATTATTTTATAGGCATAGCATCATGAGGCTCGAACCGGTTCAGAGCCATTTTAGCGGTTCGGTTTAGGTTCGGCTAGAATTTTTTTAGCGGTTTAGGTTTGGTTTAAGTTCAATAAAAATACCGGTTTTTAGCAGTTTAATGGTTCGGTTCAGGTTCGGTTTGGATCCCTGCTACTGAGTAGCATTTATGTTATACATAATATTTAAGATATTTTCAAAATTTCTCGCGATACATTTTCCTGGAGGGGGGGGGGGTCTGAAAATATATGCGATCTGGTATATATAATGGCGAATGCAAGAATTTCCTAGTTTGTGGCAGCTGACTTTATTTCAAATTTTTACCGATCTTTGGTTGGGTTACACTTTACTACATAATATTGAGCTTATTAAATTATTTTTTATAATAGTTTTTTAAAATTACTAATTACATATTATCTTTATTTTCAGTTATGCGTATATTTAGTACAAGCTTATTATATATAGTTGGACGTAAATGCTTTCTGAGATCTTATTTTCTTTCTATAGGGTTTGAGCCATGTCTATGTCAATCTTGTTGTCCAACATTTTCTTTTACACTTTGCGTATATATTAAGTTAATCTTAAATTAATTATGAATTTAAAGATCTAATACTAAATTAACTAATAAGAATCTTTGAAAAGTTCTTAAATAAAGCAAAATTACCTTAAATAAACTATATTTATTTTTCCTATAAATATCTATATAACTTGCAATGCAATAATCAAAATTTTTATTTAATATTATTAATTAGTATAAATTTGTTTTCAAATAATTTTTTTTTAAATTATAAGAATTCAAAATAGCATTTATGTCTCCAAAAAATGTTTGTATTTTAACATTCATTCAATAAAAATATATGAAATTGTGCTAAAACATAGTTAAGCATAAAATAGGAGGAGGTTAAAAATCCTGATCAAAATATATACAATTTTTTTGTAACAATTTAAAAATCTTTGAATATTATTCTGCATCAGTATACTACTTAAGGGTAGAGTCTCTGATATAATATTTATCATTGTCTTGTCAGCTAAATGAGATAATAAATTTTCATAATTTTTCTGTGTAATGGAACTTTAACAAGAATTTTTCTTTAGCGGTATTTATGGAATTTGTTTTGGGGGTGCAAAAAAAATTATAGGATTTTAATATTTTATTTGTGGGCGAAAATCCTGTTTATAAAAATAATGAAAAAAATTATTTATTTTTTTTTGGGGGGGGATGCAAATCACAGTTATTTCTAAGTCTTTATTTTTTAATCAAGCCTGGCTTAGGCCACCAGTAAAATTAGTTTTTAGGTCCAGGCCTAGCCCATATTTAATATTAAAACAAATTCCCAAGCCCGGTCAAAGCCCATGATAAATTTCAAATAAACGAGCCCGGCCCCAGCCCATATCCCGAAATTTATAATTATACAATATTTAAGTGTATTTAATATGTACCTGAAGACCTCTGGTGCAAATGGCTCTATGACTTCCATATACGTCAATGATTATTTATCATTTGTACAATTAAATTGTATATTTTATTATGAATGTACACAAAATAAATTTTCAAACGCAATTTTCTAACTCTCACACCCACTTATATCACATATAAGCATTATTTTACAGTGGCTTAACTATCATTGACTAAATTATAAATTTTTTATTTTTATCGAATTAGAACTTAGAAGATTTTTAGGGATTTTATGATCAGTCATATTTGTAAGAAATTATACTATTAACCACTATTTTTAAAAAAACATAAAATGGGAAATGCTTTATATCTTATAAAAAATATCTAATATAGTAAAACAAACAATAGACTATTTATTATATACATAAATTTCTAATTTTTAAATTTTTTTTATTTTTCTTTGTTCTTATAGCGAAATCAATATTATATTATAGTTGAATGTTTTGAAGATATTTTATAATAATATATAATATATGTATAAAATTTTATGGGGGGTTCTTTTCCTATTTGTTTAAAATATTTTTTTTATTATTATAAGTCCTTTATTTTTTAAGGGCCTCTAAAATCTATAATTGAGGTTTATTATATGAGATTTTTGCGGAAAGAATAAATTATCTATCGTTTTTTTAAATATAAATTTAAATTCATAATTACTCGCCCTAGAGACCTGCAAAATTAAAAAAAAATTACCAAGCCGTTCACGGCCTAGTGTCAAATTTTTATTAAATCTAGACCTGGTATATTGCAACAGGATCTTTTTTAAAAACGTATAGGAAAGAAATATCAAATTCAAAAGATTTATTTTATTCTCTATTTTAGAGTAATTACTTGACTTTTTATTTAAATTTGGATGTCCACTTATTTAAATTTCCATCACGAATGCATCACATATAAAAATTTCAAATTGGACTTTTCCTCTCAATAGGGAAATAGTACTAAACACTAACTTATTTGTTTTCTATTAAATTAAATTTCTATACTGTACCCAGGAAATAAAAATTTTTATATATAATTTTGTAATATTCATAATATCATAATCATATAAATGCGTAAAATAAAGTATAATGCTTCATTAACTCCTTCAAAAATTATTTTATTTTAAAATGTAATTAATGAACATTTATTGATTTTACACTATTGTAAAAATTTTATTATTTATATTGTTATTTATATTATCTTATAAATTTATATGATTTATTTAATCATTAAAAAAGCATTATACAATACACTAATGTCATTTCGTGTAAAATGGGTCTAGGGGTAATAACAAGCAATATCACAAAAGTGTGTCCTGGGAAATTATAAAATTATAAATTTTATATAAATGTTTTAAAAAGGGTTAAAAATTTAATTTAAAAAAAATGTTTACATAATTTTCATAAGATGTTACAAATTCAAACCATTAAGGGCAGATGGCTTATACAATAATATGTAGTAATATGCAATAAATAATTTTTTATAAATCCCTCTACTTATATTGAGAATGATTGGTTCTCCTAAGGGTCACTGAAATATTTATACCCAAATATCATTAATTATTGCGATATGATTAAATGGATTATATATTATATTATAATACTTTTTTTTTAAATCATCTTTTATCTCCTACCAAAAATCTACTCCCGTTTTTAAAATATTTTTATGCATATTATATAAATTATATATTTTTTTAATCTTATAAATATATTTTTTATTGAGAATCACGTTGGGGTAATTAAATACAATAATAAAGTAATTTTCGTTCTTTATAATGAATAGGATTATTAAACATTTTAAGCTGTTTCTTTAATAAGAAATATATCATATAATACACAAAATAATTTTGTTACATAACATAGAAATCCTAGAATTATTTTTAAGCATTCAGATATATTTTTTGAGGGCTAGGTCTCCTCATGCATGCTCAGACCCGAGTAAAGGGTGGTGGCAGCGGCCCCTGGCCACCAAAATTATATTAATTTATAGGCGCCAAATTTTTTTTGTGCATTGATTTTGATTTCCTTTTCTACTAATTTAGATTTTAATATTCTTTATTTAGGGCTTAGGTAAGGGCTGATGAATTTATTTATCCCCATGCAAAAAACTTTTAACTCACGGCCTTGATCGTGTTTTACTCAAATAAAAAATATTTTAGTCGATCTGATTAAATTTAGGCACATAAAATATTTTTTTAAAAAAATTCTTATTCTTGTAATAAATTATTTTAAAAAATATTTATTTTATCCATTGGTTAACTTATCTTCTCAAGTCAACATAGCGTAGGCGTCATTATTTTAAATCCAATTTACCTTTCTTTTTTGACTAATTTTGTATATTATTTAAAAAATGGGCTCCCAAACTCCCCTTGTAAAAGATTAGCCAACACTTATAAGGCGTATCCAAGATTTTCGTAAGGAAGGGGGGAGGGTTTAGGTGATTTTCTCTTCATAATTTATTTTGGATTGTTTTACATTTTAAAAAATTATTATTATTTTGGGTTTTCACCAATTTTTTTAAAAATTTCTTAATATTAAAAATAATTATTATACCTTATACCTTTTTTAAATACGATTTATAATGATATATTTTATTCACCCGGCCTTTTAAGAATTTTTGCACAAGTTCTTCGCCCGGTCGGTTAACATTTTTATTCAAATTTTCTGGCCATCATATTTTTAATTTCTAGATCTAATTTTTTTCCCCAATGTCAATTAAGGCTCTTATATATCTCCTCTATGGCTATCTATTTCGACCAACCGTTTTACTGTTTATTTGTAATTGGATCATATTATAACTTGTTTAATTTTTTGTGAATTTAATATATTATTTATAGATTTAGTATTTAATTAGACAGCTCTTAAAATACAAAGATATAAACATATTTAATATATGTTTTAGTATTAATCCAAGTATTTACTAGAAATTCAAAAAAATACCTCTAAATTTAAATCCCCAAGCTGGCCTATTAAAATTTTACTAAAAATTTAATATTTGCAAAGAAGACCTGACTAATTTTACCATATAAATTGTCCGGACCAACCTAAAAAAAAAATTATATATGACTTGCTGCTCAGCTTGCAGCCGGTTTTTCGGAAGGGCCAAGTTGGGCCTTGCAGATCTCTAAATTAGTATATCCAATGATGAGAGTGAGGCGTAGCAGTAATGATCACATATAAGTAAATCTACATCTAATTTCTCACAAGTTGAAATCTGCTGTTATTATATAATCGTTATATTTTAATATATTGATCATTTTTTGATGCCATAATTTCCAAAAAAATTAATTTGATCCTTAATAAAATATTTAAATTGCTTCAATTATAAACGACTAAAAATACATGGTTCTACCATATCAATCGTTCGCTCCCTCATAATAACTAATAAAATATTTGTAATATATTATAAAATAAATGTGTATGCCGTGTGCATAATTGCTTTGATAAAATATTATGAAATATTATACAAAATTATAAAATCTCTTGGGCATATAGTAATATTTTTGATGCATTAATACGATTTTATACAGCAATAAACCATTATAAAAAAAGATGACACAAACTTATCCCCAATAAATTGCAAAAAAAATCGCATTTTTAATGTGCACAAGAAATATAAAATATTATCATTTAACTCTGAACTGAAAATTGAATATTGGCAATTTTATATAACCACTAATATAATATCAAATAATTAACACAAATTTTATAATAAATAATGATTGCAGATTAACTTTTATATTATATTTTATTTGTTAGCAATTTATCTAGTAGAGAGTATAATTGTATAATATATCTTTCTCAATATTAGTTAATTAAGAGAATTTAAATGCAAATATTTTTTATGTTCGGCTCTTATTTGTTTGGAAAATTTTTTGCCATGATTTTTGACATTTAGTAATTTTTAATAATTTTAACTGTATTTTACAAATTATTTGAAAGGGAAGTGAAAATATAAGCATTAAATACATATTACGCTCAATTATATGATTTAATAACATTTATAAACTAAAATGCAATTTTAAAAAATTTTTATTTTATATTTTAAAGCTCCTCCCTCCTCCCCAAATTTTTGAGATCATGCCATTTTTCCGGCTGTTCAAAGTTAAGCTAGGTTTAAGTGCCTAAATTTTATGTTATAAGAATATTAAAAATATCATTTTTTTGGCAAAAGAGAGACTGGGGGCCATTATATATTTTTTTACTGATTAAGGTATGGGTTTGGTCCGGTTTATTAGAGCCTATTTTCAAAAACGAAATGGTTCCCTAAACTACTATGTAAAGACCTAACCGAACCATAATATGAGACCGAACCGGACCATGATGTTAACCTATTTTATTTTGGTTTTGAATACCATATAAAACAAAATATTATTATTTGCAAACATAATAATAAAATATGATAATTAAAATAACAATAAAGATCAATGGCGTCAAAGGGGCGGGATAAAGCAGTGCTTAACACCCCTATAATAAAAACTAGCATTGAGTGTTTTTTTATTTTTGATCCCCCATTAGGTTATTTTAAAATTTAGGTGAATTTAAAGTAAAATATCTATTAGGCTTTTTCTGGTTTGTCTTATTTTTGTTCAGACCAGTATCAGAATATGAACTAGGGCACTTTACTTTGGTTGATTTGAATGGGCACTAGGTAGTCTTTTTTTTAAAGAAGACTTGTTCCTTTTTTTAGTGTGTCCTAATTATTCTTATAATCCAAATTGAGTGAAAATCGGGCAGTAAATAGTAAATATTTCAAAATATTATTCTGTTTAGAAATTACAAAATTTATTATTTATAAAAGCTTCCTTTATTAAGTATTTATAAAAATATTTGTTAAAGTATTTGTATCTTTTTTAAATTTTCTCTATAAATAAAAATATACTTTTTTCAAAAATGTTATTGAAATCCTAATATATAGAAATAAAATGCAAAACATATTTGTATTTAGAAAACATGTATTCGCGATATTGCTCAACACCTTGTTTGTGCTTAAAATATGAATTTTATTTTAAATATCGATAAAAATTAATAATCCAGTGGAATGGAATCTAAGTAGCTACTAGTCAATGAATTATGATTGTAAAACTTGAGATCTCCGATAATCATGCGATTAAAATAGATAAAGAGGTGCAAGAAAAAACAAATAGATAAAAATCATCATATAAAACAAACTATTTTATTGAGTTTATTAAATAACATAATAAAAAATAATATTAATTGAATCCCTGCAAACCTACAATTGTATTTCAAATATATTAGTTGATTTAATGTTATTTTTTGTTGCATAATAATGTCGATAAGGACTATTGTTTTTTTTTCTGCAATTATAAGGTCTATAATAAAACTTTAAACGCGATATATTTTGATTTTAGAATTAGATTATACTTATATTATATATAATTTGAGGAATAAAACATTTTTATTCATTTTCAACTACATTTAGATCGGTGTTGGTGATGGGTTGTAAGTTTCCTCTCAATAGTGCAACTAGGATCTTTTGAAATTTTCCTGAAACATCTCTCTTAAAACATAAATAAAAATATATTATATTTTTGCATCGAAATATCTTAAAATCCTATGTTGTAGAATGTTAGATTAAATATATTTATTATATAATTAAAATTTATAATAAATTTCTAGTATATTTATTATAATATAATTAAAAATTTATAGCAAATCAAATATATTGATTTATTTAAAAAAAATAAAAACTAAAGGATTTCCTAATTATCTTAAAAAATAAATATTTGCTCAAATAATTTATAGAAATATAATTGTGAAACTCTTATATCTTTTTCCATGTGTCTATTGTATTTGGTGTAATATTCATTTTTAATCGTTCCCATGTCAACTTCAGTACGAGTGGCGAAAATTCTAATAAGATCTTTATCTTTGGTGCCCAATCCCTAAATATAAAATAAAATATTAAGCTACATTAAATTGAATTTAACCCAAATTGATTTACTTTTATGGCATGATGTATCCTTTCTGCGAGAAAAACGGCAGGGTTTTTTATGCATTTGACTTTTTTTAAACATATTTTTGTAATATATAGATTAATCATTCAAATGAATTAATGGTAAATAAATATTACAAGAATAATTGGCAGTAAGCCGGATAATTATCACTAGGAAGGGGCAAAAACGTAAAATTCACATCAAGGCGCCCGTAGGAATTGGTCAATTTAATAATAATATTCAAAAAATAATATTAAAATAATTAAAATTTTATTTTTATTGTAGGGCAGTGCTGTAAATGTTATTTTAAAAATAATATGTTTACTTGTTCAAAAATAACATCGTTCGCTACTTTCAAGAAAAGATGATATAGTAGATAATTATGCTATATATTTTTTATTATATATTATGTTAAAAAGATTATAATAACAAAATCAATAAAATATATAAACAATAAATGTGTACTAAATAAATTACTATAATTACAATAAACAATTCTAATTTTATATATTTTTATTTTCAACAATAATTGTTTTTCAAAATTTCGATCAGACAAACAGGAACGTTTAAGCATTTATTATAGCTTTCGCTGTGATAAAGACACGTTTAACTTAGAGCTCTGCATTCACTCTTTACGTTGTCCATATCATAAATAAATTAGAAAATTATAGAGTTATTTTGACAAAACAAGAGAAAACATTATTTTTAGATTTTTAAATCCCAAGCCCCTGGCATCGAAATAAGTTTAAAATTTTAGACCCCAGTCTGCAGAGCCCCAGTTCAACTGGTGCCGGGGATGGACGAATAGTATATACTTAATACAATAGTATAATTGTGCTCATTCGAAGTCTGGATTTTATTACTTGTCGTCATAGGCATATATCTAGGATTTTACTTGGGGTGGGAACATTATTAGTTGGGTTTTCACTAAATTTTATTGGAGGTTTTTAAGTTCACTTTGTATTTGACTATGTTAAATTTTTATAAAAAAAATAATTTGCTTAAAATGTTTGTTACGTTTATGCCTGTTGGGTTGTTTACGCAATTAATTTATAGATTAATTGACAAAATAAAGTAACAAATTTAGTCTACATGGTCCAACATTGTCTAGATGTCCAATATCAACCAGGCTCCATCTCTTAGTCATATCCAACTTCCACATTAATTACACACTAAGGGAAATCAAAATACTAATTTAACATAATCATCTAGTGATTTTCATAATAATTTTACCAACTTTCCTGATCATATGTATTAATTCAATATGATTCTGCAATAACAAATAATTCGAAATTAAATTTTTTTAATGATCCATAGCATTCATGGCCTAACACATTCTTGATTAAAGATTTCCTCCAATATTATCCATAATACCCCGGGGAGCCAGAGTAACAGTATAATCTTCCCTGGTAAATCGTATCAATTCAATATTAAAAAATTGCAATAATTTATTATGGGAAAGGTTACTCCATTTTATTTTTCATATCTTTAAGGTCCCAAATCACAAAACACCTTAAAATCTATCAAAGATAATATAATAAAATTCTTAAATAATAAGTCATACATGGATTTCAAAATTTTTTATTAAAAACAATTTTCAGAAGAATCTTTGGCCAAATTTATATAAAAAAAATAAAATAATTTCAATAGCAAATGTGCAATGTTTTTTTAACAACGAATAAATTTCTCCTAATATAAACTAAATTTTCAATACTGTATTCCAAACATCCCGCCAATGTTAATAACAATCCTTCCTAAATAGAGACAATTTGCTCTTTGATCCTAATCTAGGCTTTGACCGATCTCTGTAACCTAATAGTTAATGAGCATCTACCTCATTCATTAAGTCCATTATTCTTAGGAGCCAGACTGATTGCCTTTCAGAAGTCAGATCAAAGCATCTACCCAATAGCTATAGGGGGAGTTAGGTAGGATTATCTCAAAAATTATATGCAAACATATAAAAACCTTTTATCAGTATCACTGTCTCTAAACCAATTAGGGTTTTGAAAAGTAGGGTAAGCAAACCACGCAGCAAGTATTACTCTGGATATCCATGCTTTAGAACACGCATTCAAAAAAAAGCTATGCCTTCAATATTTTAAATCGCAATTTTTTATTCCAAAACTTTTTAGAAGTTATTATTTCAACTATGTTCAGTCAAGATACCGTCTACGCCTACCATATTACAATATGGTAAACATACTATTCTTTCAGCGTAAAGAATACAAGGGGATTCACTCGGGCTACTTTTATTCGACTTAGCCATAAAAAGTATGATCAAGTTTTGGATGATGCCACATTATCGTCCAACAGTGAAAGATGTAGATATTATCTTGAGTTTTTAATAACTAAATTTATTCTTGATATTGATCTATTTACCCGTGTGATTAAAGCTAAAATCTTTATCCTTGGGTCACCAATAGCAAGATCTCAAGTGTTTAAACATTTTTAGACACAATCTGATTAATCTTACTAAAAAAATATTCTAACTCCCCATCAGGCGTTTTATTTAATTTTTTTAAAACTTTAATATTCCCAATACAATCCTGCTTCAACCATCTATACTTCAAAAATGTGAAGAAAATTTTAAATCGATTTTAAATAATAGTCAACTTAAAGTTTGACTAAATAGTAGGCTACAAATCATCTTTCCAACAAAATCTGGCGGACTTGGCATATGATTACCATTACCCACCCCTTAGTTTCTTTTATTTCCTCTTTATTAAAAAAATAAAATCTCATTATTAAATTAATCTTTCATGCACAGAAATTTAAATTTGAAAAGTCCGATTTTTGCACGGGTAAAATTTTTTATTGAAAATTATGAAAATATATAGTAAAAATCTCATATAATTTCGTTATAATTTAATTTTTAAAAATATATAAATATTTCATAAGATATTACAAAAATTAAAGTGGGACATCTGCTATCCCACTTTGCAAATAAACATATTCATGATTTATTATTCATGATAAGGTTTAAAACAGTTTCGTTTTTTGGAGAAAAATAACGCCACATCATATACTGAGCAGGTCCAATCTGAACGATGTTCATTCAACTGTTGAACAATGAGCACATCTTTTCCTTTGCACTGATCTTACAGGTAAATGTGAGGCGGCACATCTCCTAATCTTCAAGTACATTTTCTTTTTATTAGATGGTGTTGGATGGCTTCTACCTTTAAAAGAAATCATTGATTCGTCTACGGCCAGATAAGGGCCGGGGAATGTATTTTTGAAAATTTTGTAGCATCGCATTCATAAAAGGACGAACTTTGTAAAGTTTATCGAATTCCAAAGAACCGGGTTGAGGGGCTAAAATATTACCGTTTGTATGAATATGAGTTTTTAATCATCCAAACCTATTTACAGGCATTAGTTTGGCTATATATTGATCGTGCAAATCGGGCATTGTGCTCCAATAATCCCGGTAGGATGGTAATTTTTTAATCCCCATTAGCATGTTCATCGCCAAAAATATTTTCATTTCAAAAATATTGGTAGATATAAATCTATTTTTATTTAAAATATTAATAATAAGAATAAGTATTAATAAAAAAAAATATTTATTTTACTGTTTCCCACTTTGGGTTGCATATAAATTATTTGAAATGTCAAAAATTCCAGAAGGGAATCAGATAAAAATAATTGAAATATTTTATAAGGAGTATCAGAATCTCCAATATTTTTTGGCCCATAAGGTTTATTAAATTCAATAGGTGGTTCAGGAAGCGAGGATCATTTTTCCAAAATTTGGGAGTATATAAAAAATTTACAAGTTGCCTATTATCTTCTGAAAGGATTCATCAATATAATAGGAACTAATATCACTTTCATCACTTGACGACATTCTAATTCACTGAAACCCATTATAAATAATATAATTATTAAAAATAGGATGTATTATATTAAAAAAAAATGTTAGCATTATATATATAAAATATTAGCTTACCAAATTGAATACTTTTAGAAATATGAATTTTTAAAATATCCGTTTTGGAAAAATCTGAAAAAAAATCCAAAAATACGAATAAAAATCTCAATATGGCGAATTTTAACGAGTATTTTTTTTTAAATGTTAAATATACATCATTTAAACATGTGTAACAATGAAATAAATCCATTTTAAAGGTGGGTTAAATTTTGTACTATTGTGCAAAATTTTGAAAAAATTGGTGGGTTATATTTAAGCCTAGCATGAATGTAAGAGTTAATTAAACCTCTTAAGGACACGGTGTTAAACAATGCTTAGCTGGTCAGCTAACATATACTTTGGTGTGATTTATCCACTTCTAATTTACAAATGGATAGGGATGCTGCTGATGTGTCACGCTCCGTCGATTCTTTACCTTTGAGCAATGACATATAACCAGTGGCGTAGCTAGATTTATCCATAGGGGGGTTTATAATTTTTTTTGGGGGGCTTCACACCCAAAAACCCCTCCCTCCGGCCTAAGGCTGGGTCCCTAAAAAAATATTATACAACATTAATTTTTTGAGTTATATCTTTATTAAAGTTAGCTGAACAATTGGAAATACTAATTCTAAAATTTGCCAATATTTTGTGCTTTATTAATGTCTAACCACTTAAGTAGCCAGCATAAATGAAAAAATATGAAAAACAAAATTTTGGCCAAATTTATGATTAATAGGCGACTGAAAGCGTTATTCTGAAAATTTTATCAATTTTTAGTGTTCAATTGTAAATTAAATCCATTCAGTGTAGAAAGAACAAAAATTCGCCCCGCAAACCACCAATTTTTATGACCACTCAATATATATTATTCTTTGTTAAATATAATTATTTTAATTAAATTTTTGCATATAACAAAATTTTACAGAGAATTCAATTATAGATTTTATTTATTATTAAAATACTTTAGTATAAATAACATCCCAATTTAATGTTAATATAATATAAAATAAATTTCAAAATGTAAAAATTTTATAAAATTTATTGTAAATAACTGTATTTTAAAAAAAATATAATTACAATAAAATATAAGTATTTCTTGTTAATAACGGTTTTAAAATAAATATAATTGAACTTATAATTAATACAAA